AAAGAGCCGGAAACAACTTAGTGACTGAGCACACAGCCACATCGTATTATTTACATATAGTTATAACAATAATAGACTAATAATAATACCAGCCTCTCAGAGTGTTGGGGTGGGTTAGGTGAGATTAGTACAAAGCACTTACCCAGGGCCTGACACAGAGCAGTGACTTCACGTGCATACTTATTATGTTTCAGCCACTGGAGCAGGTGGGGGCCTGGGTACAAGAGGCATGGGTGGGCATCTCAAAGTCTACTGCCCTCCAAGGGAAGAGTTCAGCCCTGAGCTGTACGGTGCATTGGTCTCTCCTGTGCTATGACCCCTGCAGCAGCTCCCTGGCCTCCCTGCTCTGCCTGAAAGCGTCAAGAGTCAGGCAGACATGGATTTGAAGGTTGGCTCCACCACTTATGGGCTTCCCTTGTAGCTCAGCTGGTAAAGAATCTGCCTGCAATATGGGAGACCTGGGTTCGAAGCCTGGGTTGGGAAGATCCCTTAGAGAGGGGAAGACTACCCACTCCAGCATTCTGGCCTGGAGAATTCCATGGGCTATAAGAGTTGGACACAACTGAGTGACTTTCAGTTTTCCACCACTTACAGACTGTGTGACCTTGGGCAAGTAACTGGCCCTCTCCAAGCCTCAAACTCCACTTTCATCCCTCCTGGGATTGGTGTGCAGGTTAAATAGGGGAACTCTAAGCTCAGCCAGGCTAATAGACCCTACGCTTGAGCTCACCCTGAGCCCCTTCTCTTGTCTCCTCCAGTTTCTTTCAGTGGCTATGAGCTGAGCCCAGGAGAGGCCACTTCTGGGTGCATGACCCTCACACATGCAAGGGCTTTCACTTATGGGAAACACACACCAACCCCCACATCATGCATGAGCTCATGTCCCTGCCCATGGGTCCCTGAGGCCACCGGGGATCCGCAAGTTCCCCCTGAACTCCTCATGCACTCATGCATATCCACACAGGTGTCTGTGCCCCTTCTCCACATTCCTGCACACACACATGCATGCATACATGGACACACAGGGCACAGTTATGCACAAGCTCAGCGAGGCCGGTGCCCACAGGTGTGACCCTGCACACCTACCAGCACGCACGCTCCCACAGTCAGTGGTGTCCTAGCCCGGCCTGGCCCTGAAGAAGCCGTCTTCAGAGCAGAGGAATGCAGACAGCTGGGGATGCTCTGCCAGCGGACGTGAGGGAGAGGCCCAGGGGAAACCACACGGGCAGGAATCCAGGCAGGCGTTCCAGGCCGAGGTGGAGCCCTAGGGTGCCAGGAAGTGTGGGGGGGCACGTGCAGACACTAACATGCTCCAGTCTCCTCTCTCATCACCCCGCATCCTCAGCCTCTGGGACCTGGAGGCCAAAGGGTTGCACAGACCACTGTTCTCCATCCAAGGCAGCTAGCCGGCTCTACCTGCACAGCCTTGCTGCCTGGCAGGGCACTGGGTCTCTGGGCTGCAGTGGCCTGGTCTCAGCTGGAAGGGGTCATTCTTGGCGTGGGGTCTTTCATCCTCACTGGGGAAGAATCTATGACCACAGAAGAATCTATGAGGAGAATCTATGACCCAGAAGAATCTATGACCTCAGAGATCAACAGGAAGGAGTGGAGTTTTTGTTTTGTTTTGTTTTTTCCTAATTTTTATTAACATATAGTTGCTTTACAATGTTATATTACTTTTTCCGCACAGCAAAGTGAATCAGCAATATGTATTCATATATCCCCTCTTTTTTGGACTTCCTTCCCATTTAGGTCACCACAGCGCACTGAGCAGGGCTCCCTACTCCCTCCTACTGACGAGTAGATTCCCATTCAGTTCAGTTCAGTTCAGTTCAGTCACTCAGTCGTGTCCACCTCTCTGAGACCCCATGGACTGCAGCACGCCAGGCCTCCCTGTCCATCACCAACTCCCAGAGTCTACTCAAACTCATGTTCATTGAGTCAGTGATGCCATCCAACCATCTCATCCTCTGTCATCCCCTTCTCCTCCTGCCCTCAATCTTTCCCAACATCATGGTCTTTTCCAATGAGTCAGTTCTTCACATCAGATGGCCAAAGTATTGGAGTCTCAACTTCAACATCTGTCCTTCCAATGAACACCCAGGACTGATCTCCTTTAGGATGGACTGGCTGGATCTCCTTGCAGTCCAAGGGACTCTCAAGAGTCTTCTCCAACACCACAATTCAAAAGCATCAATTCTTCGGTGCTCAGCTTTCTTTATGGTCCAACTCTCACATCCATACATGACTACTGGAAAAACCATAGCTTTGACTAGATGGACCTTTGTTGGCAAAGTAATGTCTCTGATTTTTAATATGCTGTCTAGGTTGGTCATAACTTTCCCTCCAAGGAGTAAGCATCTTTTAATTTCATGGCTGCAGCCACCATCTGCAGTGATTTTGGAGCCCAAGAATAAAGTCTCTCACTTTTTATACTGTTTCCCCATCTGTTTACCATGAAGTGATGGGACTGGATGCCATGATCTTAGTTTTCTGAATGTTGAGCTTTAAGCCAACTTTTTCACTCTCCTCTTTCACTTTCATCAAGAGGCTCTTTACTTTCTGCCATAAGTGTAGGGCCATCTGCATATCTGAGGTTATTGATATTTCTCCCGGCAATCTTGATTCCAGTTTGTGCTTCCTCCAGCCCAGCGTTTCTCATGATGTACTCTGCATTAGTTATCTATCTTATATATAGCATCAATAGTGTATATATGTCAGTCCCAATCACCCAATTCTTCCCCCGACTCTTTCCCCTTTTGGTGTCCATCTTTTGTTCTCTACATCTGTGTCTCTATTTCTGTTTTGTAGATGAGATCACCTACACCATTTTTTTTTTTTTTTTGGATTCCACACGTATGTGTTAATATACGATATTTGTTTTTCTGACTTCACTCTGTATGACAGCCTCTAGGCCCATAGTGTCATCATTGGCTCAAGTCAGAGATGACGGAGACAATGTGGAAGTCACTAGAACTCTTCAGGCAGGACTCATACTGACTCAGCAGCCAGTGTATGTTAGGTAAGGCACTTGCTTCTAGCAACTCTCTGAGTGCTTACAAAAGGGCCCCTGCTCCCATATACAGATGGGGACTCTGAGGAGCAGAAGCGGCGTAACCTACCCAGGTCCCCTAGCTGGCTGACTCCAGACACCAGTACCTAACCACTGGGCCAAGCGGCCTCTGCCAAGGGGCACATCTCACACCCTGATGGAGAGGTTTGCAAATGAGGCTGAAACACTGCTGGCACAAGAAAACCACTGCCCCACATGCAGGGATCTCCAGCCCAGGTTGCAGAGAGGGCTCTCCCAGGTCACAGCTCCATAGAGACGGCAGGCGGAGGCTGAGAGCCATCCAGGCTTTGGGCCTCTTCTGGTAGCACCCATCCCTGGGGAACCAACTGAAGCTGGGGAACATGTCAGGGTTCCAAGAAATGGCAGGCATGAAGGTGGGACATGGCCTCTGCAAGTTCAGCCCTGGGGTGGAGAGAGGTCATTCTCCATCTGCAGATAGAAAACATGGCCTAAGAGGGACAGAGACCGAAGTGTTCCAGAAGAGACTGAGCAGGAAGAGGGGCTGGCAAGGGGCCCAGAGCAGACCTGCCTCCAGTTCCTGAGTCTCTGAGGCCAGGGTGACAAGTGGTGGCCTCCTGTGAAAGGCCCCCGAGCCAACTAGGTCCCTCACCCTCCAGCTCTGGCTATTTGCTGGGTGGAACTGCTGGGGAGGAGCAGGCTAGGCCCTGGTGCTCAGGACCTCATGGATGAGGGAAGGAAGAAGAGAGTCAGTGCTTGAAAAAAATCCATCTGGGGACCTTCCCTATACTCCACTGGCCACGCTGCCTGCCCCCTGCAGGTTCTGTTTACAGACTTGGCCATTTACTTGCTGGGGAGTGAAAATGGGAAGATGACAGTGCTGTCATGGGAGGACCAGGAGGCAAGTGGCATGCCCAAGGTCACAGAGGGCAGAAGGATTCTGACCCGTCACCACTGCTGCTTCTGGGACAGCCAGGCATGCACCTTCAAGGTGTCACACCACACTCACCAGGGCTGCCCCGTCAGAAACCTCCAGAGGCCTGGGGAGCCGAGCCTGCCCTCCAACTTTCAGGAAGAAGAGGGGCCCAGTCACACTGTCCCTGGGGCAGGTGACTGCACCTCTCTGTGCCTCCAGTTCTTCAAACAGCAGTGCCTTCCACTCAAGGCTGTTCTCATCATCCGACAGCATTGCACTTAGATCAAAGCATGGCCTGGCACAAAAAGCCTCACGGGCGCCTCACGGGCACCCCCGGAAGTTTCCAAAGATTTCTCAAGGCCTCTGCTCTCCTTCCCAAGGCACATCTGGACTTGAGACCTCATTGTCCAGCACGGGACACAGGGGAGGAAAAAAAACAAGAAGCCAGCGTCACCCCACTTGTCAGCTGGACAGACCCAGGTCCAGAGAGGGGGAGTGACTTGGGGGAGACACAAAAGGAGGCAGGACTTCTCCCATACCAGCTTCATGCAGAGAACAGGCCCTGGACCCCAAGCAGCGTCCCCAGGGGACCCTGGGGGTCTCGCTGTAGCTAAGAGACCTCTCCTCCCATCCACCGACCCTGCCCCCAGGGGTTGCTGCCCTGTGCCCCACATAGGGAGCTCCGGCCACCAGGACCTTTTAGAGTCAGAGCCGCTGAGACTTGGGAAGGGGGCTGGCCTCTCTGAGGTCTCCTGGGGTCCCCAGTAGGGCAGCTAAGACCTGAGTCCCCGGCGGCACGTGGCGGCGCTGCCCGCTCGGTGATGTCAGGCCTGCCGCACCCGGGCCCCAGCACGTTCCTTCGCAGAGTCGGCAGAGCAGAGAACAAAGCGTCCTGCGCATTCCTGCGCGCTGACTCATCGCCTGCACGTAGCGCGCCGCAGCCACAGCCGCTGCTTTGCCCAAAATTGGTCGGGAGGCGGGGGCGGGCCAGACTCGGCCGCCTGCGATCCTCTGCTCACTCACCTGCTCCGCGCTCACCAGGGGCCCCCTGTCCCAGGATTTCCCGAAACAGGCAGGAAAGCAAGAGGCACTGGGGGGACACGTCGGTCCCCGCGATAGCCAGGGCCACCGCATGGGGGGTGGGCGCGTGATCGGGCACGGTTGGCAGGCTGGGGATACGGCGTAGATGCAGGCATTGCGTGTCTTTGAGCCTCAGTTTCCCCCTCTGCAAAATGGGGATGTGCCGGTTACCATTTTAAGCATTTGATATAAGTTCTTTTCCCATATTCTTACACCAACCCTATGAGGAAATACTATTATCATCATCATTTTACAGGCAGGGAAACTAAGGCACAGACACCGATTTGCTTGAGGTCAGGTGCTAGTGGGCTTCCCTGGTGAATCAGTGGTAAAGAATCTGCCCACAGTGCAGGAGAGGCAGGAGACATGAGTTCAGTTTCTGTGTGGGGAGGATCCTCTGGAGGAGGGCATGGCAACCCACTCCAGTATTCTCACCTGGAGAATCCATGGACAGAGAGCCTGGTGGGCTACAGTCCATGGGGCTGCAAAGAGTAGGACACAACTGAGCATGCACCCAGGCACAAGTGCTGGCCAGCTGCAGAGCTATGAATATGAATTGTAAGGTTCCAGAATCTGCATGTATCCCCTATATGCTAAAGTGCGGATTGAAATGTGTGGTGCCCAGCGGGTGTTCTCACTGTGCCATGACCCTTGGTGGTTGAGCCCAGGTCCCTCACTTCACCTCACTAAACCTCTAATCTCTCACCTGTAAGGTGGGGTGACTGTGAAGGACGCCCTCAAGGGATTGTCAGGGAAATTACACTGAAGGTTCAAGTGTGATCTGTGGAAGAAAAGGCAGATTTGGTTTACCAAGCCTTCAAACCACCTTTGGCCATCTAGGCCAATACCAAAGTACAGAGAGCCTGGGGTAACCAGCCAGGCCAAGCCACACTCGTCTGGGCCTCCCCAGGGGTCTGGGGAGCACGGAGTTGCCTGTACTCCTTGGGAAAGTGAGGGAGCAGGAGGGTCCCTGCCGTGTTCCCTTTGCCAGCCTGGCCTCTCTCCCCCAACAGCCTGATTTCAGGGAAGGTGGAGTTCTTTGGATCTGTCCTGTGTCAGGGTCAGAGGCTTGCCCTGAGTGTGTAGGAATGAGGTGGCCACCAGGTGGCTTTGTTCTCAGGTTCCAAAATACACTGGGCAGCTCTTCCCCAGGTTGTGGTGTCTGCCATCTGAGGATTGTCTGATAGTCCAGAGAAGCCCCTAGAAGGAATTCAACGCCCCCACCCCCACCCGAGCCAGGACTGATCTGAGTCCCGGTGGGTCGGGGACACCACAGCACAGATGCAAATGGCTCCCCTTTGTGTGCTGAGTTGCTCAGTTGTGTCCGACCCTGCGACCCCATGGACTGCATGTAGCCGTTTAGGCTCCTCTGTCCATAGACCTTTCCCGGTAAGATTACTGGAGTGGGATGCCATTTCCCACACCAGGGTATCTTCCCATCCAGAGATCGAACCCATGGCTCCTGAATCTCCTGCATTAACAGGAGGATTCTTTACCACTGCACCACCTGGGAAGCCAGGAGGTGACTCCACTTTCAACTCAGAAAGAGGTCAGCTCTGGCTGGGTGTGCAAGGCCTGTACGCTGGCCTCCAAACTCCTTTCATCTCTGGGTCCTTCACACTCTTCGCTCCAGCTCCTAGCACATGTCATGCTCTTTCAGGCCTCCCAGCCTTTCCCCACGCCATACCACTGGCCTGGAATGCCTTCTCCACCTTCATAGCCTCTTTTGGATGCCTCTTCTGCTGGAAAGCCATCCTGACCTTTCAGGCAGAGGCAGGCACTCACTCCTCTGGGGTCCTGTAGCTCTCTGTCTGTCCTCCCCTTTTGGCCAAAGCAAAGACTGACACAGAACACACACTGGCCCTTATCCCACAGACACTCCCAGGTCCCTATTCCAAGAAAATGCCTCCAAGGGCCCTCCCCTCAAATCGCAGCTGGGACGGAGACCCACAGACCCATCCCGGATCTTGCAGAGCAGACTCAGTCTCTCTACTGCATGACGACAAAAGACCCAGCATTGGGGCCTGAAGACCCTTCTCTTCTGCTTCCGGCTGTGTGGCCTTGGGCAACTTCTGCAGCTTCTCTGAACTTCATTCCCAGGCCTTGCCTTGCCTGCTTCCCAGGCCTGTTCGGAAGATCAAATGAATGAAGGCAGAGAGAATGCTTGGCGCGTGGGCACAGCTCCCCACACAGCTGTCATTATCACCGAGTCATTATTACGGACCTGCCTTGTGCCTGGGGCCTGGGCTCCAAGGCTGGGCAGCAGGCGGGCAGGCAGGCGATGAACTCAGAAGCAGCCGCAGCCCCGGGCTGACTCAGGCTGAGGAGGCACTGGGAGAAGTGAGTGCTTTATGGTCAGCCTGAGCCAGCCCAGCTCTGGCCCTCTCCTCCTACCCCCAGGCGTCACCCAAATCTGAGGCCACAAGGCCTCCCAGGCCCATTCAGGGCCTCTTATCTGGGGAGATAAAGCCCCCCCCCCCCCCCGGGTGGTGGATCCATTCAGATGGCTTCTGTGTGACCTTGGCACCCCTCAGCCTCTCTGGACCAGCCTTGGGGAGTTCCGGGGTGGGGGGCAGGCAGTGACCTCACAAGGCTACAGGTGTGTCTTCCAGGGGCTTAGTGGGGGAACTCCCCCACTGCTTTGGGCCCCAGAGGAATGGTTCCTGTTCTTTCCCTCGCCGATACTGACCTAAGGTGGTGGAACTCCCAGTATCCTCCCTAGAGTCTAGGGTTATTTTTTTTTATTTGACACATGAGGAAACTGAGGCCCAGAGATCAAAAGGCCCTCAACTAAGGCAGCACAGTCAATAGTCAGGACACAGGCGTGCAGCTCTCCCACCAGCATCTTCAGGGCCCCCTACTACAATCCTCCATTCTTCTGTGGCCTCCTGGCTGGTGATGGCTGTCTCTCTCTTTCCCACCCTGGTGGCTCAGAGGGTAAAGAATCGGCCTGCAACGCAGGAGACCTGGGTTCAATCCCTGGGTGGGGAAGGTCCCCTGGAGAAGGAAATGGCTACCCACTCCAGTATTCTTGCCCGAAAAATTCCATGGACAGAGGAGCCTGGTGAGCTACAATCTATGGAATCACAAGAGTTGGACACAAATGAGCTACTAACACTCTTTCCCTATACCCTAGGACACTAGCTCTGTGCCAGGGCTTGGACAATAGTCACCAGCTTATGAGATCTTCACATGAATGAAGACAGAGGAGGAAGTCAAAGCTCAGAGAGCTGGAATAGCTTGGCCTGGTCCCACAGCACAGTGGTGGCGTGAGGCTCAGTCTCCCATACCTCTGCCCTGTGCCCTGTAACAGCTGCTTCCCAGGATGGTAGGGGCTCTGGGTTCCAGCAATACCAGGCCTCAGGGAACCTGCAGGGCAGCCCTCTGGTTTCACAGACGCCCCCTGGCTATGGGTAGCCAAACAGGAAGGGTACCCATCCTGCCAAGATGGACCTACCAGGCCCACCTGGGCCCAATGCTCCTTACCAGGCTCAGATGAAAGCGTGAGGTCATTGGACCATCCCCGCTCCCTGTCGGCTCTCGCTGCTGTGACTCAGCCTTGCCTTCCCCAAACCTCCTCCTCCAGGGAACTCCAGCGATGGTCTGACCTGGCCGGGCTGCTCCCGCTACCTGCCTACCCTCTCAGGGCCTCCCACCCTGAGTCATCGCTCACCTCACCACTTGACACAGTGCTCACTGCATAAACAGACTATTCCCCTCCCCCAAGCTCCCAGGGTTCTGCTCCCTACAGCCCAGAAGCCAGGCTGAGGGATGGGGGCACTTTTCCTGCTGTCCCCAGACTTAAGCCCTGAGGTTGATCTCCAGAACCTGCCTTCAGGGACTCTCTGGCCTTGACAGGAAAATCTAGAATTGAGATTGAGGCCTCAGGCCAAGGGCTCAGACTGACCTGGGCTCCAATTCAAGCTCCTTCCTTGTTAGATGAGTGACCTTGGACAAGGTACCTCAGTTTTCCCATCTGAAGAAGGACAACAGTAAAACCAGCTTCATCCCATGAAGATTTCCTACAGCACCACCGAGGCCAGGATCCTGCTTAAAAATTCAGGTGGCTCTGGATTCAAATGGTTGTATGGCCTCGCATAAGCCGCTTCGCCTCTCTCAGCCTCAGGCTCCTTGCCTGTAAAATGGGAACAAGAAGAAGAAAGCCTTCCTGCTGTGGTGACTAAATGTCATAAGACATGTAAAAGGTCAAGCCGTGTCTGGCACCCGGGGACCAGACATGGGTAAATGTTTATGTGGATAAACAGTGAAAGTGAAAAGTGAAAGTCAAGTCGCTCCGTCGTGTCCAACTCTTAGCGACCCCGTGGACTCTAGCCCACCAGGCTCCTCCGTCCATGGGATTCTCCAGGCAAGAATACTGGAGTGGATTGCCATTTCCTTCTCTAGGGGATCTTCCCTACCCAGGGATTGAACCCAGGTGTCCCACATTGCAGGAAGACACTTTAACCTCTGAGCCACCAGGGAAGACGTGGATCAATTGTTTGTTTATGTGGATAAACAGTAGCTGTAGTTAAATCTTAAAGTGACCTGTGTATAACAGATAGCTCACGGGGAGCTCAGCTCAGTGCGTGGTAACCTAGATGGTGGGATGGAGCGGACAGGCAGAGGGAGAGCCAAGGAGGAGGGGATGTATATATACATAGAGCTGATTCACTTCACTGTACAGCAGAAACTAGCATAACATTGTAAAGCAATTATACCCCAATTTAAAAATTAAAAAAAAAAAGAGTGCCAGGTGTTAAGTGATCCCAGGATGGTTTTCATGAATGATAGGGAGATGGGGAACAATGGTCTGGCTCTTCGTTGGATGATGGAGTAGCATCAGGGAAGGGCTTCCCAGGTTGGAAAGTTCCGGGGTCCCCTCTGCAGGCTGACCACCCCACTTCCCTCAGTGGGTCCAGAAGGCTCTCTGAAGAGGTCTTTCTGGCTGGGGCTGGCCTCACAGTTTACAGTTTCCAGGCCAGCCAAGAAGCACTTCATTTTACAGAGGACAAAGCTGATGCTCAGACAGGGAAGGGGCTTGTCTGCAGCCACCCAGCTGGAAGCTGAGCCCAAGCCTGCACCTCCGCGTCCCCCTCTTCCCAGCCTGGGAGCTGCCTCCTGGACTGCGGGTGTCCTCACCTCCCAGTCTCAGAGAACACTCTGGGAGATTCTCAGAGCTTGTCTGCGCACTGGAGACTCTATCTTTGTCTCTGTCTTCCTCCGTAATGCTCGAGAGGCAGCTCCTTGGGCCATGGGGACCCGGCAAGCCTGGGCTGGGGCCAGTGGACGAGGAATGGAGCCAGGAGAAAACTTCAGTGATCGCCTCATTTCCAATTCAACCAGTGATGTGTTGAGCATGTGATCTGAATGAAGGAAGAGAGGCTGGGGGAGGTCAAATAAGTGAAGGGTGAGGGGATAGAAATAGCACTGACCCTGGGATCAAACAGACCTGGATTCAAACCCCAACCATTACATGTCAAGCTCTCTAACTTCTGAGTCTGAAGTCGCATCTGAAAACAGATGCATTGACATGCCTCAAAGGGTTATGCTGTAAAGATGAAGTGAGAGCAAAAGTGTAACCAGGCTCTGTAAATAGTTATAGTCAGTAATAATGATGGCTACCACTGATAGAGCTCTCCCTCATTTAATCCTTACACAGCTGTGTTACTGTGATTATACCCATTGTACAGGTGAGTGAACTGGAGCTCAAAAAAGGAGGAAAGGGCATATGTGATGGGGAAGAGGGATTCTGACACCAGAATCAGAGCCCTTAGCTACTAGCCAGCCCTCAGAGACACAAAATAAAGCATAGCCAGAGGTGGTTATGTGCATGTGCTAAGTCGCTTCAGTCGTGTCCGATTCTTTGTGACACCATGGACTCCTCTGTCCATGGGATTCTCCAGGCAAAAATGCTAGAGTGGGCTGCCATGCCCTCCTCCAGGGGATCTTCCCAAGCCAGGGAATCGAACCTGCATCTCTTATGTCTCCTGAATTGGCAGGCGAATTCTTTACCACTAATGCCATCTGCAAAGGTAACTATGGATGAGAATATTGTGGGTGTTCAGAGATGAGTTAGAGCTCATGTCTTGGATAGAGTTGGGAAGGCTGGCTACAGTCCACGGGGTCGCAAAGAGTCAGACATGACTGAGCATGCATGCACGCACCTGGGGGAGGCAACCTTTGTGATGGGCCTTGAGTTTGGGCAAAATAAATCAACTAAGAATGGGAGGAGGAGGAGAGGCCCGCCTTGCACAGAAGCTGGGAGGCAAGAAAGTGTGCAGTGTATTCAGGAAGTGACAAGCCTCTTGGGCTGGTAGGCTGTGGGCACCCTGGTCAGCATTGGTGGGAAAAGGAAGGAAAGATAGGTCCAAGTCAGGTCCCAAGCAGGCCTGATGCCAGGGTGGGCATTTGGAGTGAACGAGATGCTACATGCTGACACCAGGCCAGATCCTGCCTCCAGAAGCCTGGTTTTCATAGGAAGGCAACATTGACCCAACTCTCAATACCCCTCATGTCTGTTGTGGCATCAGGTACTGTGCCAAGGCAAACGTGGGTGAGTGGAGAAGTCAGGCTGGCCTTGGGCACTTGGAGGGACTGTGTGACCCAGGGCAGTGGAAGGGAGGCTTATGGTGCAGCTGGCTCATGGTGTATGGATGCACACAGTTTCTACTAACATCCCTCCAACACACACATGCACACATCACTCTTTTGCAGGAGTGTGTCCACACCAAGATGCCCACACACACCCTACAGCCAGAGGTGAGGGAGGGAGGGATAGCAGAGGCTTGCTGACAGAAACCCCTATGCCAAGCAATGGGCTGAACCTTCCATGGGCTCCGCCACAAAGCCTCCTTGCAGCTATGATGTAGGATTTTTCTTCTTAGGAGCCTTGGATGGATGTGACCTCTGACACTCGGGAAAATTAAACAGTGCTATACCCTTAGTCACATGGTTGGTGAGCCCCAAAATGAGAGCACAGACTGGCAGCCCCAGCCCTGAGCTCCATTGGGCCCAACACAGTGCTGGGCACTGGGGGTAAGTGGGGGATTGGAGTCTGAGTCACAGGGCTTTGAAGCTGACAGCCAGAGCAGTGGAGCCTCAGAGATTCCAGGGGTGGGCTGGCCCCTGACTCACCCCCACACCCTGAGCCCGCCCCAGGCAGTGGCTTCAGCTCCTGGCCGCCCTCCTGCCTGCCAGAGCCCAGCGAGGCCCCTCCTGGGTCTTTCATGGCTCAGGATTCCCAGGAGCTGGGCGGGCAGGGCCTAAGCCTTGAGGCAAGGAGGTATCCTAGGCACACCTCTGCTCAGGAATGTAGGCCTAGAGTCACAGTGGGAACCCCAGACCTCACCAGCCTGATGTCAGAGGCAGCTAGGCACTTGGGCTAGCTGTTAAATGAAGAATGAAATACTGTATTTCTGCATGGCCCGGCCTCCAGGTGGCTCACCCCTTCCCAGAGGGAAGACAGCCGCCTGGTGGGGCTCTGGGTGCGCCCTGCAAAGTATGGGTTCTAGGCAACAGGGTGGGTGTGACTGCAAAACCACCAGCTGCGTGTCTTGGCTGGTGGTAGTGGAGGGAGGAGAAGGCTCGGGTTCCAGCCCCTCCAAGTGCAGGGGCCTCAGAGAGGTGAATGCAGGCATTCTGGATCCCCAGGATCTCTGGTGGGCTGTTCCTTCTCTCTGGACCTCAGTTTCATCATCTAGGTATAGGCCAAGGGACTTTCCCTCTCTGGCTGCCTGTCTTTTGCTTTTAGAAATCATGTCCAAGCCTTCATCAATAGAGCATTTTGAAGATGTTATCAGGCAGAAAAGGGGACATAAATGTTCGTCGTAAGTGGTGTCCCTGCAAGGGCAGTTTTGTCTGATGAGATTAAGTCATCTTGTACATTCATTCCAGCTTTGGGCCTGGACCGTGTGCCCAGGCCTGTGTGCTAGGCCCTGGAGTTGGGATTCCAAAGAAGACTGTGTCTCAGTGATTTCATCATTTTGGGGGAGAGACACCTCTCCCCTGGAAATAACCAGATGTTTCCAGGACAAGTTTAACATGCCATTCAAAGCTCTTTGACCTTTCCAATATCTCTAGCCACATCTGTCATGATGGAGGGTGGATGGGTGAGAGATTGGTTGTATGGATGGAAGGATGGACAAAATGTCAGATAGTGGATAAATGGATGGACCAATAGTAGGAATGATGGATGGAAGGATGGATAGATGGCTGTGGACATGGGAGGTTGAATGGATGGATGGAAGGAGGGATGAATGGATGAGTAGGTGAATAGATGGTGGGGGGAGGCAGGAATCATTGAATGTGTGATTTAGGTTCTTGGTCCCACAGCAAATGAGTATAAGGGAAAAGTTCCAGTCCTGCCTCTTGTTCATTGTGTGACCCTGAAGAGTTCACTTCTTTAGCTGTAGAGTGAGAATCTTGTCTGGAAAGACCTCACCAATCAAGTGAGAGCCATGAGCCCAGCCTGCATCCCAGGTCTGTTGTGGGTATCCTGTGAAAGTGGTATGGACTGCCCATGCCTACATAACGGTTGTGACTAGTCCTCAGTCAGTGGCCTTGCAGGCACAGGCAACGTGAGGTGTTTTTGCTGTGGGAGAGACACCCCTCTGTGGATGCAGTATGTTCCTAGGCTTCCCACTTCCTCCAGGCTTCACAGAGTTCTCTGCCTGGTTAGGAGCAAAAGAGGTGACCTCTACAGAAGTGTTGCTGCCGGAGGCTCCCCAGACGCTGTACTTGTCAAGTAGTAATTGATGTGTCCTGTTTGTTATTCATCTTAGGGTAATTAGAATAGGCTCAGCAAGGGGACACCCGGGGCTCAGGATTAGGGCTTGGAGTTACACAAATCTGCCTTCCAGCCTTGGCTCTGCCACTTCCTAGCTGTCTGACATTGGACAAGGCATGAACCTCAGTTTCCCCATTTATAAAATAGGAACGAATTATAGTACCCACCCCTTAGGTAGGTTATAACAATTAATGGACGTAATGTATGTAACCACCTAACATAGAGCTCAGAATATATTAAATGCATGTGTACCCAAGTGCAGAATTGGGCCCTTAGCACTTTGAAGGAAAGTCCAAAACTTCAAGTCTAGAGACCTCCATCTTGAATGCTCAGTCCCTGGATTAGTTTTCTTATTTCAAAAAGTTCAGTGGGACTCACATTCTTCTTGACAAGTGTGCCTTGATTGAACAGTGTCTGGTTTTGGCTGCAATTCCAGCAGTTCCATGGGCCTCGCTGACCCTGTTCTGATTACACTTAGGTTAATAGCAGACTGGGCACATGAATTATTCCTTTAAACGTAGTTCATGTGGGAGCTACAAATCTTTCCAATGGGCTGAGCTGGAGGGAGGAGGAGAATTTAGAAGAGGGTGTCCTCCCAGGGAAGCCGCGAAGACCAGGAGAGCTGGCCCCACAGGACCGAGGCTACTCTTGCAGAGACCCAGTGTGCGGACGATGCCGTGGGTGGTGGCAGGCCCTGCTGGCTCAGGGTGATCTGCGGCCGATGGCAGGAGGCCCAGACCACCCACCAGAAAGAGGCCCTGAGGCTGAGTGGCCCTAGGCTTGAGTGGGGGCAGTCCTGACCCATAGTCCTGAGGACATAACTTGGGAACAGGTCATTATGGGAATGTCTAAGCTCTCTCAGTCCTGAAATCCCCAACTCAGGCTGGCTCCAGGGCCAAACCCTCCCCAGACCCCTATTCCTTGCGGGGTCTAGACATCCCCCCTGGCCAGCCCCATCTGCCCAGCTGCTCACTCTGCTATGCTGCCTGCATGGTATGTGCCTGCGACTGAGACTCTGTGTCCCTTCCATTGGGGCTACAAACAAGAGAGCTTCCTGAAACCTGGTGGGGCCAGGTGACAACAGGGAAGTGACTGGTTTTCCGGAAAGTGAAAGAGCAAAGGGTTCCAGGCTGGGAGCAGGAATGATAGCAATGAACTCACAGAGTCTGCAGAGCTTGCATTTTGGGAGCTGGAAACCCAGGGCAGGTTGATTATGCCTGTCACAGGCTATCTGAGCTGAGCAGGCCCCTCACAGTCGATGGGAAGAGAGGAAAGCTGTCCAGGGAAGCCAAGGAAGGGACAGGCCTTGCCCAAGGTCACACAACATGAATAGCAAAGCTGGGGACAAAGCTGCCCACTGCTACAACACCAGGTAGCTACTCTAGCCCATTCCTGCCCTGTTGGACGTCATCAGAAGGATGTTTAATCTTCACTCCTGTGCTTCCTCCATCCCATGCCACTGGACAACTATTCAATGGGACCAAATTTATCATTCGTACAGGGGTGATCAAAGAAGCTTTGGGGTCCCCAGGAAGGTGGCCTAGGCCCATCCCAGTGTCCCTGCCTTCTTGCTAGTGGGATCCTTCCTGACAGCCCTTCTCAAAGGGACCCATGGGGGCTCAGCTTGGACCCCTGGGAACTACACTGGTGTGCAGGAAAGGGTAGGTCTGGATTAGTAGCCCAGAGAGCATGCCCAGCCCATCTCTGTCTTGAGCAAGTTGCTCCTCCTCTTGGACCTCAGTTATCTCATCGCCCAATGGGAGTGGAAACCAGAAAGAATTTCTAGAAGGCAGTTCCTAGCATGGAGTATTTCTTCACCCAAAAATACACCCCAACTGTCCTCTTTTGCCAGCCCGCCCTCCCCACAAATCTCTGCTTTTTGGATTAGGCTGGTGCCAAACGTAAGTGGAGCAAATTATTTTGTATGCAAAATACAAAATATATTGTATGCAATTCCCCCAGCTTCTGACAGGGCGACCTCCCATGAATCCCTGCCCCTCAGTCTGCAGCCTTTACCAGCCCAGGCAGGGAGCGGGGCCAGGTGGGGTGAGGCTGTGGAGCAGAGCAGCTGGCGGGGGCCGTCGGTAGGAGCCAGAGCAACGGGGTTGAGGTGTCCAGCCAAGTCAGCCAGGAGGCATAGAGGTGACTGTCGGGGCCCAGGCCAAGAGACCTAGGAGGCTAGGGCTGGATATTCTTCTTGTTCTTGTTGTTGCTTAGTTGCTAAGTCATGTCCAACTCTTTTGTGACCCCATGGACTGAAGCCCGCCAGGCTCCTCTGTCCATGGGATTCTCCAGGCAAGAATACTGGAGTGGGTTGCCATTTCCTTCTCCAGGAGATCTTCCCAAAAGAGGGATCGAGCCCATGTCTCCTGCACCGGCAGGCAGATTCTTTACCACTGAGCCATCTAGGAAGCCCACGGGCCAGGAGCTAAAGGAAATTCATGTGTGTATCGGAGCAGTTGGCTTGTGCAGACAAACCATGCTCATGTCAAAGGCAAGGGAAGAGGGAATAAAGAAAACTGTTGTTTTTAACTCAGCTTAATTTCCTCCACCTGGAAACCAATCTTGCCAGTGAGGTAGTGCTGTTCCCGGAACACTTTCACCCGCTAAGACCTGGGCTCGCTCAGGTTCCCAGGTCTGGCGTCTCCATTTCACAGGAGCCCTGCTTGCCCAGCTCGAGCAGAGGGCAGGAAGGAGGGAAACTGGAGTCGGGCACAGCCCCTCGAGCTGACCCTGCAAGGCCCGGCTGTGGCCCCTGTCCTGTCGTCATCCTCCTTTCACAGCAGAGAGGGATCCTGTCTCCTGGTCTCTTTAATTCTTCTATTATGTTTCCCAGACTGGGAGCCTCTGGTTGCCTATTGTCCTGAGTAGGCACTTTGCATTTGTGTAAAGATTAGACAAGTTAGAACCTTCGCTCTCACTCTGATGGTCTTTCTCTTTTACTTTCTCAAATCCGAGTTCTTTCTTTCTCGCTGCGCTCTGCTTCCTTATTCTCTCTCTCCCTACCTGTCTTTATCAGCCTCCCTGTTTATTTTCTTCCCCTCCCCGACCCCCTCCTTCTCCCCGCTGACCTGCTTTTCCTCTGTCATCTCTTCACAGTTCAGTAGTTTGAATCCTCTTTCTCCCCCCTCCACCACCGCCACCACAACCCTAACCTTGCTTAATTCCATATTTATATTCTCCTGGAGCCTCATAGAAATGACTGAAAGCATTGCTCACCTCATTCCAGAAATAACTCTTCTAAATTCTTAGAGAGGCAGCACACGGGGGAGGGTGTGAGCACTGGACGGGGAGTAACTGTGGTTTACTGGAGAGAACAAGACCCAAGTTCCGCTGCGGACTCTTGCGTACACCAGCTGTGTGACCTTGACCCAGCTGGCCTCCGGTCAGAGTCTCTGTTTTCTCCTGGGCAGCCGTGGAGCTGGTACCCAGATGAGAACAGCTGCGAGCGAGGTTGTGAAGGAGAGAGGATGGTGATGCCCTGCACACACATGCTCTGAAATGTTTTTCCTGCTTCCACTGCAGCCTGAGCCAGTCAGAGGGAAGGAAGGGGGTGCTAACCAATATCTCCCCCCTTGGTTCTTCTCTTCTCTACAAGGATCACACACACACACACACACACACACACACACCCTGGGAAGAGACAATGCTGTTTCTTCACAGTCATCTATTGCTCCCTCCCTAAATGTCTAATGATAAAATTCCAACTGAACACAGGAGGTAAAACTTAGGCTTTAGTGGGCTCCTGAATTTCTCCAGTTCAAATCCAGGCCTTCATTCTTTCACCACCCTCTCCCTCGGACAGCACTCACTCAGAGTCTCCTACTGTGTGCCAGATGGGCTCCAAGGCCGGCCTTCTCTGGAGTTCTGGACCTCGAGATTGTTGGGGAGATAAGCCCAATGTCATGAGTCAGGCATGAGAGCACGGGTTCTGGGAGTTCCGAGAAATGAGAGGTCCTTTCCTCTTATGCCTGGAGAGAGGGTCCCTGAGAAGGAGGGACTCTGAGCCAGCAGACCGGGAGGAGCAGGATGCTGAACCCCAGGGAGCCCCTCCATCACTATGTCTTTTTTTCAGAAGGTAAGCCAAGACATCCTGTCCTGGCCAAGATGAGAGGTCTTCCCAGGGGCCTTTGGTGTACATGGCCACAAGCCACCTTTCTGGAAAGGGCTCTGAAGGCCCCTTCTTAGCATCAGGGAAGTCTGTGGGCCACATAGGTTAAGAAGAAGGAAAGAAGGGCACTTCCTGAAGGAGGGGGGAAGGAGGCGGCTCCAGGCTGGTCAGAGGTCAGGGGTAAACTGTGTCCTTCACTGGGGAAAGCAGGCCCAGAGAAGGCTCTGATTCTCCCAAGTCCGCCCAACCTCCCACACAGGTAAATGACCTACCTCCCACACAGAAGAAGGGACACCCTCCACCTGGTTGGCAGTAGGCAGTCAGGAAAGCAGGGTCTCCTCCAAGGAAAGGGAGGGTTTTGCCCATGGGACCTCTCCCTCCCAACGCTGAGTTCTGGGCAAAACCCACAGAGAGTCGGGGAGGGGCTCGGGCATTTGGAGGATGACCTGAGGGGGTCCAGTGGGACGGGGAGGGGTCCCTGGGGACAGCAGGGGAGCCTCAGGACTCCAGGAGGTGCTCCAGGCTCAGAGGGAGCATCCTCCCCCCTTTTTCCGCCCTCATCCTGCCCTCCTCCCTACCGCAGAGGCTGGGGCGGGCCGGGCGCCCTGGGAGGAGGCGGTGTCCCTGGCTCCCTGCCCACCGGTGCAGGGCTGGACGGGCAGGGGGCGGAGCCTTGCCTGGCGTTATAAGAGGCAGCCAGGGCACCGAGGCAATGAGCTATCGCTCAGCTTGGCAGCAGGACGCTGGCAACAGGCACACTCCACACTCCAGCCCAGCCTGCGCGCTCCCTCACCGCCATGGTCGCCATGCCCACCGCCTTGTGCTCCATCGCTCTGGCCCTGCTTGTGGCCCTGCACGAAGGTGAGCTCCCCCGGCCTCAGCAGCTGCAGCAGCCCCGAGGCTGTTTGTCTGTGTCTCCTGCTGGGGCTCCGTGCCCTCCAAGCCAGCCAGGGAGCCTTCAGGGGCAGGAGTTAGGCGGCTTGCGGGCTGCAGGAGGCTGTGCTGTCAGAGGTGCTGCCGTCCCAGGGCAGCCACTGGTCCTTCCAACCCAGAGCTGCTGGGGCTTCCCCAGGCTGGCCCAGGGCTCCTGAGCCCTGAGAATGCCAACTTCCTCGATTATGCGAGAGGAGGAGCCCGGCGGGTCCCCCATCGCAGCTGTGCCAGGCGTCCTGACCCACCTCTCCACTTTTCTCTCCCTCCTGTGCATGCAGGCAAGAGCCAGGCCGCTACCACCCCCACCCCAGAGCAACCAGTGCCTTTGCCCCGGGCCCGAGGCTCCCACCTGCGGACTCGACGTTGCTCCTGCAGCTCCTGGCTCGACAAGGAGTGCGTCTACTTTTGCCACCTGGACATCATCTGGGTGAACACTCCCGGGTGAGCTACTGGAGGGATCCAAGAGGGGTTGCAGGGGTCAGGGGTGGGGGATGCTGGCATGCTGGGGAAACCCTAGCACACTGCAGTTCTCCCTTGGAGTCGGGCTAATAACAATAGCAATCAGCTATTGCTTCAGTTCCCACATGGGGGCTGCCTGAGCAAGACAGAGGGCTGTCTCGTGAGAATCCTGACAAAAAGCCTGGTCAGAAAGTGTTGGCTCCGTTTTCCAGATCAGGGTACTGAGGCTCAGAGAAGTTAGGTGCCTTTCCCAAGGTCACACAGTAAGGAGTAAGTGGTAGGTAGGAGGCTCCAGCCTAGGACTGCAGATGCCAGAGCGCACAGCGGCTCTGCCACGCTGCCTCTGCACAATCTTCCAAGAATAATATGATTAATGACAGCACCCATGTCTTGATTGTGCCAGGCCCTATGCCAAGCACTGCTGGTGTGTTATCACCTCGTGAACGCACCCCCATCCTCCCTGATGAAGCAGGGGCTGCTGCTGTCCCCAAATGACAGACAAGAAACCTGCCCCGTGTCACCCGGCAGAGCTGGGGTGGGGTCCCAGTGCTGTCTGTTCTGTCTGCACCCGCACTGCCTCCGGGCCACTGCATACTTCAGGTTGAAGTTTCTCTGTGTGTTTGTATTTTTTTTTTCTTCTCCAAATTGCAAAAGACAAGAGAAGCCCGGCACGTAAGCGTGTGTGGAGCTAATCCGCATCCAAACACTGGCTCAGGGCGGGAACCCTGCCAGTCCCTGCGTGCTGGGTCTACCTGGAGCCTCCGCAGCTTCAACCACACCGTCTAAAATTAGCTCGGGCGTCCGAGGTGCTGGTCCGACCAGCCACAGGGCCCTGCCCTTCGCCTGGCCCGCCTCAGATAGACTGAAACTGAAATCGATCTCAGCCGATCTAACAGGCCTGTATACACACACGCACACGTGCAGGTCAGGCACACTCACCATTTTAAAGTCAAAACTCCAAAAGACACTTGTGTCACCCTTCCAGGCAAGTGGTGATGGGATGGAGGCAGCTTAGCTGTGAGCCTGAGTGTTCATTTCTATGAGAGGGCACTCTCTCCCTTCCTTCCAGACTAGCTGGGGGTCTTTGAGAACAGGGGGACCAGCCTGACTCCATCAGCTCAAATTGCTGCCTGGGAGTGGAGAGGGGCAGGGAGGACAGCTCCCACCCCTCCTCCCCATGCTGAGAGTCTTACTGAGCAGGACCGGGGTGGGGGGGTTGGGAGGGAAAGAGGCCCAGAGAGGGTAAGGGTCTTGCCCGAGGCTCCCTGGCACGTAAGGAGGAAACTGCAGTGGGAATTCTTGAGGGCAGGAGCTGGTTACTTTTGCTGCCACCCTGGCGGCATGGATGGCTGTCCCAGTGTGCCGTGTGGACAGTCCCAGCTTGCCAGTGCTCCTGGTTTATCTAATCCTCTCTCTGTCTCTCTCCACCCTACACCACTACCTTGCTGGCGGCCCGCCCACAGACAGACAGCTCCTTACGGCCTGGGAAACCCGCCAAGACGCCGGCGCCGCTCTCTGCCAAGACGCTGTGAATGCTACAGTGCCAGGGACCCCGCCTGTGCCACCTTCTGCCATCAAAGGCCCTGGTAAGTGGGCACCCAGCCTGCAAGGGGCCAGAGGTGACTTCTGGCCTGGACCTGCTCTGGAGGGCAGGGCGTCTGGGAGGCCAGCAGTAGTGTAGTGTTAGTCACCCAGTCATGTCCGACTCTTTGTGATCCCACGGACTGTAGCCTGCCAGGCTCCTCTGTCTATGGGATTCTCCAGGCAAGAATACTGGAGTGAATTGCCATTCCCTTCTCCAAGGTGTCCGGGAGGCCAGCAGAGGCGTGGCTAAATGGTGGAGGGGGGCGAGGGGAGCAGGGTCCTGGGGGTCCAGAGGCTGCCCTGGATTGTGGGGCAGCCTCCCTTCCTGCAGGGAGCCAGTCACCCTTGAATATTGCCCCCGCCACTACCCCCAGCTCTGGGGGCTTCTGAAAGCATTGCGTCCCCACTCCTGAGCAGGAGGAATTCTCCCTAGATGACGGCTGAGGCAGCACAGGCTCAGAGAGGAAACGGGACTTGTCCTATCAGGCTACACAGCTAGTCAGACAGAGAACTGGGCCTTCTGCCTTAGTCTCTGGGCTTTGGGTTCAGACCTGAGGCTCGGGGAACTCTAGAGCTTTCTCAGTGGAGAAGCAGTAACTGGAGTTAGGAGGCCATGGCACCATCCCCGAGATGTCACAAAGCCTTTGCCAGTCTCTGAGCTCTCCGGACCTTCCTCCCTCCACACGGAGCATTGGGAAAGCAAACAGTGACGTCACGCTCCCCTTCCTCCCGTTCCCATGACGGCGCATGAGAAACTCCTCCCTGGAGACCCCAGCCGTGGCTGCAGCCCTGCCTGTTTCCCTGCCGAGGGCCCTGCTTAGCTGCAGGTGGCTAGATTCTGGGAAGGCCAGCCACCCCGCTGCCTCTTTCTGAGGCTGAGAACGCATTCCCAGTAGCTCAGTTTTCCTCAGGCCCCACCCCACCTGGGAAAAGAAGGATGCCAGATGCACAGGGTGGAAATGGATCTGCTCCTGAGGGCGGGTCGGGGTGGGGGGCTGGGTTGGGCCTGCAGCCAGGTGGCCTTGGGGCCCTGGACAGCCCCCCACTTGGGTCCTAATGATGTTCACTCAGGACTGAGGCGGTGGCAGTCCCAGTCAGCGGGTCCCCTGCAGCTGTGTTCCCGGATAGCAAGACTCGGGCCACGGCGGGAGAGCTCCTCCAGCGGCTGAGGTGAGGGGCGCCTACACCGATTGAGTGCCTTCTGTATGCCTTGCACATTTCCCTTATTCTCCATATGATACCTTGTGTCCTTATGGGGCAACCAATAGGAGTTCAGAGAGGTGAAGGTGTTTACCCAAGGTCACACAGCAAGCTATGGCATCTGGCTGACTCAAGAGCCTATGTTCTTAACCACTAGACTCTTTGTTACCACCAGGCCTGGAAGTGGACTTTTATTGAGGGTTTCAGGGTTTGCAATTGTGGAAGGTCCCCAGGTGTTCATTCCAGCTGTGTCTGAATCAAGCATCTCCCACACGCTGGGGTCCAAACGGACGCTACCCAGACTGTTCTCTCCCCGGGTCCCAGACTGGCCTGTCTCCCTGCCCTGGTAGCTACAGCATGGCTCATCTCAAGGCTTGGCACCCGGGAGGTGCCCATGAATGTTTGTCCAGCCAAACTGACTTAAGAACAGAAACCCACAGCCAGTCATGTGGCAGGGTGGCTGAAGGGGCAGCGTCTGAGCTAGAAAGTCCCAGCCCTGCCACGAGCAAGCTTTGTGACCTTGGTCTGTTCACTGACCTCTGTGCTTCTGGCTCCTGTCTGTGAGGCAGGGACAGCGGTGCTATCCATCGCATCGGCTCGTGGTAGGTTAGAGCAGTTGACATACATGAAGAGCCTCAAGAAAGCCCAGGCCCTATGGGAGCTCTGAAGGTTTTAGCCATCCCCAACTTTTGTCCCTGAAGGTTCCTCAGGGCTGCCCAGTGCTGGGGTGCAGCCTAGCCCCTCAAAGGTCCACATCTCTGTGAGGAGGCGGAAACATAGGCAAAAAGACAGGATGACGGGCAAGGCAGCACCCAGGATATACTGAGGAACTGTCTTTAAAAAAATAAATAAATAAAGTGAAAGTGTTAGTCACTCAGTCGTATCCAACTCTTCGCGACCCCATGGGCTATAGCTCACCAGACTTCTCTGTCCATGGAATTCTCCAGGCAAGAATACTGGAGTGGGTAGCCATTCCCTTCTCCAGGGAATCTTCCCGGACCCAGGGATCAAACCTAGGTCTCCCACATTGCAGGCAGATTCTTTATCATCTGAGCCACTAGGGGAGCCCAGGAAATGTCTTAAGATGAAAAAATTCAAGGTAAGGCTTTGCAAGTACTTGGCATTCTATAATCAGCAAAGAGTGTTTTTGCCAGTCTGTACTCAGCCGCACACCATTTCAGGCCTGCGTTTATTCTACAGACCAAGAAAGGGGTTCAGAGAGGTTGAGACCCTTGCCCAAGTTCCCAAAGCTGGGAACCAGCCTCCCAGTTCCCAGGCTAGAATGCCTTAAGCCAGAGTGAGGCCACCTAGACGATGGCAGAGTCCCCACCAGGGTCTCAGCCAGATTCAAAGGACTGCTAGGATCCATACTTATCTGGATTGGACCACCTTGATCTGGACCTTGAAGAATGGGAATTTTAGGACATGGAGTATGGAGTGAGCGGACGGCCATCAGCCTGAGGAGCTGCAGGGACAGAGGTGTGGAGGAGAGAGGGCAACCAGGGGAGGGCCACCGGGCTGCTCTTGGCCGTCCAGTCACCCTGGTAGCTCTTGATGTGGAACATCAGTTTTGTCAAAGCTCCTCGTGGGCAGAAAAGCTTCTAAACTGCCCCGGCCTCTCCTTGATGTTCAGACCTTGTTTTCAGGGTCAGCTGTGGCCACCCTCTGATCTCCTGGCCATGAATAAGGGATCCAGACCCTATGACCGATGCCTCTCACAGGCAACTCTCAAGTGATCTGTTATCTCCAGAGATGCTCAATTGACCTCTTTCCATTCCAGGGTTATTTCTGCAACCAAGATCCACTTTGCTAGGCAACAGCAGAAGACGACGAGGGAGACCAGACCTACACACTCCAGGCAGAGGAAGAGATAGCTCTCGACTCTGGGAGAACTTTGGGAAGGAAGCCTGTGTGGATACAGGAGGAGAGGGGCATCCCAGAGCTGGGTTCCGACCTGTTTCCTAGGCCAGAAAACCCAGCTGCTGGAGCAGGCACAAGCTCTGGCCTCCTTGCCCTGGGGAGGGGGCCTCACTCAAGGCAGCTCCGTGACACCAGGAAAGCTATCAGGCCCCGGGCTGCAGCGTGGCCTCCCACACTGGCTCCGGTTCCAAGGCCCTGCAGAACGGAATGGCATGCGGAATGTGCTAACCTGGAGGTGTCCTGTCTGGTGGCTGCGAACCAGGAACAACGTGCAGTGGTGGGCACTCACACCTCAGCCAGCCCCAGAGGCCAAACAGGCCCTCCCAGGGTTGAAGTCCCGGCCGCCCCCCACCCCCCGCCCCCGGTCTGTCCCGTCCAGCCCTCCCTCTCCAGTGTCCTTATTCTCCACTCATACCCTCGGGACACTCTTGGTGAGAAGGGCCTGCACCGCTTCACCTGTCTGTATATAACTTATTTGCTCTAAGAAATTTGATGATTCTGATTATTTATTTTAACGTATTTTTTTAGACTCTCAATTATTTACCTGCAAACTTGTGTTTGTAATAAACAACAAAATGATGCTCTAGCATTTGGTCTTGGTTGAGCAGGAGGTGGGAGGCACTTTTCAGGAAGGGGCTGCTTAGAAGTGAAGGGTACAAAGGAACAGGGAGAAGAGAGCCTGAGGCAGGTGTGGAGCCCTGACTTCCACACCCCTGTGCCCGGCTGGGCACCGCTGGCTGCTGACCCACCCTCTCTGGACTTTTGCCTATCATGTGCATGGACAGCCACTTGCAGCTTTGATATCCAGGGTTCCAGGACCTGCATTTCTCTCAGGCCGGTAAGTGTTGGCCAGGCCTTTCCCCAGAGCATGTTTCATAGGAGCCAAGACTACAAGGACCCACTTCTGTTCTAGTTGCCACCCCTGAGATTCAGAGCAAACCCGTCCACTGAGGGCTGTGTGCTATTCCAAGGCTGTGTGCAGCCCTACTGGCCGGGGATGGCTGTTGTGATGGAGTCATAGGCTGGTCCTTGTCCCTCACCCTGGACTTGGACAGACCCTGCTGGGGGCGCTCAACACTTCTCTCACTAAAGAAGCCCAGGGCTCTAGCACTGGCTTGGCCGATCCTGCCAAGGCCCCAGGAAGCTGCTCACCTGAGTCCCAGGGACAGCCAGAAGCCAGGGCTAACCCCGCTGGCAGCTCCTGAGACCGACAGCCTCCACTGCTGCCAAATCCCCCTGCGAACAAGCTGTTCCCTTTCCCCTGGCCGGCCTCTGCTGGGAATGGTACGCTGTGGCCTGAGCCAGTTATTGAAAAATAATTATTTACACACTACTCTAAGCCTGCCTTGTCCATGGAGCCAGACTCCCTCCTGGGAAAAGAACATGTTGATGCATATTGGACTCCTACTGTTTACTGGCATTTTATGAAGATAAACTCCCTTCATCCTCACAACATGACAATCTCATGATATAGGTACTTTTATTATCCCCATTTTACAGATGAGGAAACTAATGCACAGAGAAGGCAACTAATTTTCCTGGGGTCACGCAAGTAAGTGGCAGCATCAGGATTTGAACTCGGAGTCTATAGTACACATGTCTGTATGTACCGACTAAATATTTGTTCATTGAATTCATGGATCCCCATTGTAGTATGACATTGAACAAATCTTCCTCTGTCTGAGCCTCAGTTTTTTTAATGTATAAAATGGGGAACAATAGTCTCCACCTTGTAGAGCTGGTTGTGAACCCTAAATGGATGAGTTATGGTGCTGGGCTCAGTCCTGGGCCTCATGAGAGGCAAAGGCCGAGTGTCAGGCCGTTAGAAGTGATGATGTAACAAGAGGACAGCCACAAAGACACAGGCCCTCTGAGTTTCGGGGAGCCTGGAGCTAGCTGGTGTGGAGAGACAGGGTCAGAGAAAGATGCATGACTCAGGTGTACTCCATGGCCTCAAAGAAAAGTGAGACTCACATCAGTAGAAAGAAAATGAAGAGGGAGCCCCAGACAGAGCAGACAGGAAGGATAAAAGATTGGCAATGGGAGTAACAAAGGCATTTCCCATGGAGGACCCCGTGTGGCTGGAGCATGGTGCAGGGAGAGCAGCAGGAGATGAAACCAGGACTCCCTGGAGACCAAAGTAGGGAGCCTGGACTTTCTCTCATGGGTCATGGGGACCCTCGAAAGGTCTGCGGGCAGCAGGACCTGGTAAAGCTAGACTTTGAAAAAATACCACCAGAGGGCCACACAGGGGGAGCCTGAATGGGGAGACAGAAAGCAGGGAAGCAAGTCAACTGCTGGTCCTTAGGGATCCAGCCTGGGTGGCTGGGGTTGGTGATGGAGCCACCCAGTCACTTCCTACCCAGGATTCCGGCATACCTCTCCAATCTCACTGAGTCTGACTCCAGGTGAATCTCACTCCCCAGCATCCTGTTCAAAATAACCCTGCCCGCATGGAACTCCCAAAGCAACAATCAACGGGCAGGCTAGGCAGTGGTGTGGGGCAACCCCAGCACGGCAGGAGTGATCAAGACCAGGTAGAGGAATGTAGGTTGAAGGTGTGTCAGAGGCCCGGGGAATTAGGCATTCACTGCCCCGGTCAGAGTTCAGAGATCAGCGACCAAATGATTAAGTAAGAAATGATTAGAGGGAGGCCCAGAAAGCAGGTAAAGCCCAAGTGAGACCATAACCCCCAGGATCCTTGTTCTCAGGAAATGGGGGCCCCTGGTTTGGGCCACTCTAGCCCTCTAGCCCTCTGCCAGCCATATCTTTCTCCCCAGATGTGAAGTTTGCAGGGTGAGGGGTCATGAACATCTAAAGTCTGAGCCTGCTTCTAAACCACATTCCTGGTAGCCGGGGCCTCAGAAGTGTGGGGGAAAGTGGGATAGAGTTTGGAAGAAGCAGAGGAAAATTTATGAAGAACTGTTGCCAAATCAAACTGAACCCTGGGAAGAAAGGCGTCAACATTTTAGAAGGCGTATCTGGATTTTATGGGACAAAATTGTCCCTTTTTCCTGCCTTTTTCTGCCTTTTCCATAAATACTTACAGGTTTGGTAAGGCTTTCTGAGTTAAACTTGTGTTCCTTTTAACTGGAACACCAGGCAGAGATAGGCCAGAAGGGGGCACAGGGTGACCCAGATTTATTAGGGTCATGTGCGTGCATGGAAGCAGAGTCAGAGGGGAGTGGGGGTCCCACGTTCAGGACTATGCAGCCTGATGCATATCCAGGCTGCAGACTGGCCCTTTCCTGCCCCGGACTGCCTCTCCCTCCACTCTCTCAACAAAGAACCCCAAGGAATAGTTTCACTCTTGCCATCTCACTCTCTCTCTAAACCTCAGGGATTTCAATTGAGAAAAGTCATTTGCCTATCAGGGCAATGAATGATTGGAGTGTGGCCATCCCGGCGTTCAACAATTATGAACAATCACCGTTCAGAGACTCCTGTAAACAAGACAGACACAGCCCCTGCCCTCACAGGCCAAGAGGAGAGCCCTTCAGGAAAGCACTGTTACTATAAAGGTAGAAGTGAAAGCAGACATTCATTGAGTGCTCATCAAGTTCTTCTTGCACATGGATTCTTGCAGCAACCTTATGCAGCAGGTGGTATCATTGCTATTCCCATTTTAGAGAAGGTTAAGAGGTTAAGCAGCTCACCCAAAGTCTCATGGCTAGCATGTGGCTGAGTTGGGATTTAAATCTCAGGCTCTCAGTCTGCATGCTGTCCTGCTGCTCTAAGCAGGTAGGTCCACAGTGTGATTGAGCCCCTGGGGTGAGGGAGTCTGAGAGGCTTCCTGGAGGAAGTGACGGTGAGTCAAGTGAAGGAGGGGATGGACAAGAGTGTTCAGGCAGGGGGAATAGTGTGTAGGAAGGGAGCTATTCTCTGTGCTTAGTCATTCAATCCCGTCTGACTATTTGGGACCTCGCGGTCTGTAGCCCACCAGGCTCCTCTGTCCATGGGATTCTCCAGGCAAGAATACTGGAGTGGGTAGCCATGCCCTTCTCCAGGGGATCTTCCCAACCCAGCAATTGAACCCAGGTCTCCTGCATTGCAGGTGGATTCTTTACCAGATGAGCTACCCAGGAAGCCCATTCTCAGCCCCTATCAGGGAACAAAAGACAGAGGGGCATGGGGAAGGCTGGAGAGGGGCTGCTAGCAGAGGTGGGTGGGGGGCTACAAGCAGGGAAATCCATAGCTGCTGTCGCCCCTCCCCCAATCCCGCAACAGCCTCAGACAACGTCCCCCTGGAGAATATTGCCATGCCTGAAACATACCTTTGGATCAAACCATGCTTGCGCCCCTTGGGGTTTACCCAGGCTGGCAAGGAAGACAGCCAAGGCAAAGTGAGGGGACAGGAGGTGGGTAGGTTATGGGCTGCCCTTCCAGCTGTGTGCCCTTCCTGTCTCCCTGGGATCTCTGCTCATTTCATCCCAATGGTGTTGTGGGTTCACAGGGACAGCTTGGGAAAGGAGTAGGGTTTGCACACGCTGGGATGAGGGAAAGGGCCGGCGCATAGAAGAATCTGAAAAAAGGCAGCAAGCCTGATTGGCAAGGGCCAGGCTGGGAACAGCATCCAGTGCCAGGAATTTGAACTTGAGTGATGGGGAGCCAGTGAAGGTGGCTGATCAGGGGAGAGAGCCAGGACAGGAGCTGGCCTTGGGCAGCTGGCTTATCCTCAGCTCTTCCTGCCTCCCCGGCCAGTGCTTCCAGCTCAAGGGGGCCCTCTCAGCCCCTCGCAGGAGAGAGCAGAGTGTGGGCCTTGCCTCCGCCTGCCAGGGACCGGAGCCAAGAGCCCTCAGCAGCTCGGAAGGGGGCCATGTGCGGGCCCGCCAGGAACCCTGGAAGAGGAATGTGGCCTAATTAATTCTCCAAAGCTCAGAGGGCCTCGCCTTGTGGGAGCAGCTGCCAGGACAGGCCTGCCAGGACGCCACGGGCCCAACCCGTCTATCACTCAGAGCTCGAGGACAGCAGGCTGGAAGCCTGGAGACAGGGGCCCAGGGGGCCAGCCCCTTGCCTCCAGGTACACACGTGTCCTCCAGCCCCTTCACAACAAATAGTGCAATAATAGTAATAGTAATAGCCAACAGGCCTCGAGGGCTTAATGTGTGTCAGACTCTGTGCAAAGCCTTCACTTCTCATCTATTCACTACAAAGGCCCAGTGACAGGGGAACTGTTATGATCTCCATTTTGCAGATGAGGAAACTGAGGCTCAGATGGGTGAATTTCCCTGGCCGGGATCCTGCAATCAAAAAACATAAGCAGAGAAGCTAGGATTGGGATGTAGGCAGCCTGGGCCCCACAAGCATGTTGTCATAAGCACTGCTGAGCCAGCCCAGCATGGACTGGGGCAGAGTGATACCTTTCCCGGGGACAGCCGACTGAAAACAGGCCCTGGGACATTGAATAGGGTAGGTACCTGCAGGAAGAAAGACCACACCCCTGTCCTCTGCTTGAATTGCCTCTTCCTGAGGTTTCTCATGAGAGAGGTTTTTTCCTCTCTCAGCCCGTAGGTCATCCTCAAAGACATGTGACTCGCTACTCCAGGCAGATGGGACTGGAGGAAGACATCCTGTCTCCCTGG